CTCACCCAACACCAGATCTAGACATTCTCACTTCCAATTTCTCTCTTTTGTTGTGTTTGAAAGCTGGGTTCAAAGGAACCCAGAAGGAACCAAGCACAACTAGGTTCTTTCGAACCCAATAGCTACTGGTTCAATTGAACCCAGCAAGTGTGTTGGGTTTGATTTCGAACCCAGCAATTGCTTCTTCTTCCTCTTCCTTTCCTTTCACCTTCTGGAAACCCAGACACTTTTTAACATCAAATCCAAGTATAACATAAACATAAACGCAAAATCTCCTTAAAATAGTCACTGCCCTCTCAGCCTTCCAAAAAACCCAGAAAAATCAAGGTATCTTCAATCAAACCCAACAACAATTCTTCAATCGAATCTAGCATTCTTCAATCAAACCCATCAGGGGTTCTTCAATCGAACCCAATAGTGCCTGTTGGGTTCAATTGATGAACCTAGCAAGCGCTCCTAGATTCAATTGCTAAACCTAACATGAACCTAGCGACACCTGCTGGGTTCAACGATCAAACCCAAGAGTGCTTGCTGGGTTCATCGATTGAACCTAGCAGCGTTGTTGGGTCCATCGATTGAACCCAGTGACGTTGTTGGGTTCATCGATCAAACCCAGAAGCGCTTGCTAGGTTCATCGATTGAACTCAATGACGTTGCTGGGTTCTTGTTGGGTTCAATCGATGAACCCAACAAGTGCTCCTAGGTTCAATCAATGAACCCAGCAAACGCCATTGGGTTCCTGTTGGGTTCATTGATTGAACTCAGTAGCCGTCAATCTAACCCAAAGCCCCTAAGGCCAATGAACAAGGATCTAGGGGAAAAAGATGAATGCTAGAGATGAAAATGAAGGGGTAATGAAAGGAAAATGGAAAGAAATTGATGTGTGGTTGAAGATGACAAGAAAAAAGTAATTTTAGTTTTACAATTAATTTTAGATATTTTAATTTTTATTGAAAATTACGTGTCAAGTTTTATATGCCATGTTGTCAATCTTACATGTCAAAATATTTTTACATGTCATCATTTGTCATCAACTAAAGAGACACATAAGCGGATTTTGAATGGAGGGACCAAATCAAGGTTAAAATGGTAAATAGTAAGGATCAAATCAAGGATTTTTTGAGTTGAGGGACTAAATTGGTAGTCCATATAATAGTTGAGGGACCAAAATAGGAGTTTAACCAAAAAGCTTTAAATGAGGAGTCAATATGCCTGAACTAGTCTATAGCTTTTCTCTTACTCATTTATTATTTAGATAAAACCATGTAGATTTTTTTCTTTGGGTAAAAACCCTTTATAATGGTTTTGATTTCCTCTGACCTTTAATTCAAATTTTGTACTTCTCTTCTCACTATTTTGTCTATTGACATAAGATCAACTCTTTCGATGCTTTTTAACTCTTAGAGTCACACCAAACTTAGGTGGGATTTAGTTTATATTTATTAATTTGCCTTTGGAAAAACCTATGATCCTCTTGATTTTGCTCAGAATTTTGCAATCAGTGTATGCGTCCCTTTTGTTTCTGAGTGCATTTAGTGCCTTTGTGTATGCGTGATTGTGTACAGTCAGGTACTTACTCTTATGATCATCACACATCCGGGCTGTTGAACACCAAAATTGATCGTTTTGATTTGATTTTGTTTCTAAAGAACTCTCTTTTTATTTCCCCTATCTTAAATTTCCTTGCTTTATAAGCCATTTTATCTTATGAAGCTTATTGAGTTTTGTAGGTTCAGGAATCCATGCTTCGCAGAATTGAGCCGTTATTTTACTTGCAGCTTATAATAATGGGATTTGTTTATAGGGGGTGGGATGCATGCCAGAGAAACTTTAAGCTCTAAGATGGAAGACAAGGAAGGAGCCGGCAACAACCATGTAATTCTTTCGTACCTGTTGAAGGTTATCTATCTTGTATTTTATGTCTCAGGCTAGTAGCAATTGCAACAATGGTTTCTTGTGCTTTAGGTAGTTAGTTTGTTCTTAGGCTTCTATTCTGTTTTGTTTGGACCATGTCATTTTATGTTCTGCTCTGTTTTCCGTTTAACTTGGTTTGAAGAATTGTTATTTGAGTATTTTGGCTTGTAAGAATGGATCTTAATTTATGTCACCATTGCAATGATTATTATGGCATAGTGTATTTGAGAATAATGGTTTGCAGGTGGGGTATTTACCAAGAATCTTTGGTTTTTTTTTTTTTTTTTGGCGTAAATGACTAAAATGATAAAAACAAAATAACTAATTTAAATAAAGAAAGCATTACATGTTACAACGTAATTGAGTCAGTAGCAACAAATACGGTTTGAATTGGAGGGAGGAAGGAAAAAAACACAATGTGATTTGATTTTCCTCTCTAAATTAAGGAAGATTTAATCAATTTTTTCATTTTTGTGATATTAAAAAAAAAAAAAACCAAGTTTTCTTCATTTAGGCTTTATTTTGAATTGCTGTATTTTTAAATGATATTAAAATGAATCAAGAATAATAAATTTGTATTTTTAAATGAAATATTATGTGATTTAAATATAGTATGTTTATTTTTTAATATTAAAATATAAACATTTGTTTATCTATTAATATGAAATTATTAATTACTAACACTTACATTTTAT